TAAAGATCGAACCACTTAGCCTAGATGGACTGAGCATGCTCAGTGATCCAGATCTGGTTTTGGCTGACCCTGCGATAGAAGATACATTCAGGACGGACAGAGTGTAACCACCCCAACTTGTTGCTTTGGAGGTGATGGCAGGAGAGAATATATCTGGACACTACAGAGTGAAGGAGAGCATTTACAGAATGGCTCATGGGCTACAAGACTTATTTTTTTAATGATTAAAGCACTAGTCACTGCTTTTGGTTTTTAACTGTATTCTTTTCTGTGTACGTTTAGCTAAGTTAAGGTTGAAATGTTTTTCAATTTAAGCTGACCATTGCCAGACAATAACCACCCCAGCACAGGGCACATGATTGTACTGTATTTGACTTAAATAGATGTAATGCAAATTGTTTACAAATCTTAAATCTTAGCTTTTCACATCAAAACCAGAAAGTTTGCATTTTGTAAAATGTTATTCTTTTTGCTCTTTAAATTTACATCTTTCTAAACCACTACAGCTAACTGAAACTTCTGTTAAGGTATAGAATTCTTTGGCATTGTTTCGATATTTGTTGCTGTTTGTGGTGTAGAGTCACGTACTCTAGCAGGCCCTGGGTATCCTCTGTGCTGTGAGCTGCTGTCGGCTGGAACAGCAGTTGGGGTCAGTACTCTGGGTTGAAGGGTGAGTAATCAGCCAGATCCCACAACCCACCGCGCCCCCCCCCCCCCCCCCCCCCCCCCCCCCCCAAACCATTGGAAACATCCTCAATGCGTTGGGTCAGACATGAAGAAAGCAGCAGAGGCTAACCAACAACGCCAGTGCAAGTCTGCACCTTCAGATGGCAAGGAGATCTTTAAAATGAGTACCTGATGCTTTGCCTTGTAAAAAGCTGATATTTGAAATGGACTGAATTTCTACTTGACCCACTGGGACCAGGAGAAACAGTCACTGGGCGTTTGGGACCAGGAGAGGGTGTGGCAGCTAACCACTCCGGCTGATCTGTGACATTATCTATTGCGATTTTTATTCTCCAAAAATAAATACACATTAATTTGTGAAGGAAAGCAGTTTCTTCAGTTCTAAACGCATTATGAAATGTAAGAGTTTCAAGAAACTGAATTGTGGTGAAATAAGCTGTCATTTCAGAACCCAATTTCCTTTCTTCTCTCTGACAGAAGTTAGTGGAATAGGCAGCTATGCCCCCCTCTCTTTTTAATATAAATATAATTTATAATTCTTCATTCACAAGACAAATATTCAATTGTGTGGGATGGAATTTAAATAACATAATCAGAGTTTCTGATATCAGAATGGTGAAAAGCTGTAGTTTTAAATTGCTACACTGTGAGGTTAACACCCCCACTGAATGGCTTAATAGACAGAAAATTACAATCTGGCTGTTATCTTTGGAGAGAATTGATTGTTTCTTTGTACCCTGGAGCTGGAAGTGCTCTGTGATTAGGAATTGTAGACCTTGCCCACAGAGCTTGAATACTAATACAATGGAAGATCGTTATGGCGAGGGATTTGAGAGGCTGGAATACTGCTTGTGAAATGCTGAGACAGTACAGGTGATCCTGGTCAGCTACTGGTTAAGCTAAAATGCAGATTGTTTTTTTTAAAAAAAAGTGAAATGGATTCAGCCTTGATTCACCTGAGGAAATGTGTGTTTGGTTCATGCTGAGAACAGAACCCTTACCAAGACTGAAGACAAACGGAAAGTTCTAACACTGCTTTGCACAAACCATCTTGCCTCTCATGGTTTATAAAGCATTTATTTTTCTCTAAACAAGTTTTATGTGAGCTTATTATGAACCTGCTCCTTGATGTCCTCTGCCTTGACTCATTTTGAAGATGCAGTGTAGTTTGATGATATTAGTGGGCAGTTTCATTCTGTTACCATTGCACTGCACACACTGTTTTGTTGGTTTGTATTTATAGAAGTATCAGCACTGGACACTGTCATGCTGTCCTTTCACCTCTAAGACTGATTCATTGAGACTCCAGACAAAGTTTCACCTGTACATTTCTCATTCTAATAGCCAGCATCTTCTCACTCTCAAACTCCTGGAGTCTTTCTCGTACTAAATGAAAGTGGCTCTGCCTCATAGTCATAGAACCTGGACATAGGGTCACCTCTTCCTCCAGTCTCAGACCATCATCTCATCCTTGACATTACAATGGTTATTTTCCCTGTAATAGTCTGGAAACCAAGATTTTCTTAAATGACCAAGAGAAAAGGCAGATGTAACTCCCTCCAGAACTTCTGCATCTTGAGGCACGAGTGAAACAAGAAATAATTATACAATAGCGGGACAGGCTGTACGTTGAAATCATTGAACTCCAGCATGTTTCATTTTACAGTGATGTCTTCGATATCCTGAGTTCAAAGCAGAATATGTTGGGGTTGACAATTTGATCTATCACATTCTGTAGATGTGGAAATGACTTGTCAAGTGGCCAAAGGAACCTTTCATTAGAAATACTGAACTGTGTTACTTTGGGAATACAACTCAGTGAGAATCCCAGTCTTTTACTGCTTTTATTTCAGCTATTAAATGTATAGATATATCAAATATTCAAAATTCTGTTTGGTTAAATTTTAAAAATTGGGTTTTGCTGCAGGGGAGAGAACGTGTGTTTGTTAAAATCTTGCAAAGAGCTGTCTTTATTTATTAATGTGCAGAGCCAGGATTTTCCAACCTCCTGTTTAAAATAGACCACAATAGACGCAGTACTGGCATCCAGTCCTCTGAGATGTAGAATAGGTTTTATGATCTGTTTAAAATCATCCAATTTTTCTTTGGTGCTGGATTAATTCAGTTGTATAAATGCTCATAACATCTTTATTTTATCATTTGTATTTTCTTACAAAAGATTTTTAATTTTTTTTTGTCAGTAGAGAATACTTTTGAACTGTTACCCCACTCACAACTTTAGTAAATCCCCAAGCCTGATCTTTTGTCTGATTTTGTTCACAATGCTGTGGGACTAAGGAAAGCCCTGTCGGACCACACTAGAGCAGATCTCAGCACACACTGTCTCATTCTCTGAAATATTGCATATCTTAAACATATAGTGATTTTAATCTAACTGACTGGCCGGGAATCCTAATGGATCACTGGAGTGATACCCCACCTGACTGCGTTCTCTGGGGAGTGTAATTGGGTAGGTTGTCAAACTGATGTTGCATACTATCCTAGATTTCTCCAAGGATGGTACTGGTTAAAATTGCTCTCCCACAATAGGCTGATCTCCCTGTATCTGGGAACGAAATCCATCAATGATTTGATTAGAAATGAACCTCCCTTGCGCGCGCACACACTGCACTGGTGTCCATCAAGTTTGAATTGGCCTCAGTCTGCATTCACACTCATGATCAGTATTCAATGTGGCAATGCGTGTGTGTCTGCGTAGAGACCTGGTGCAGTCTTGGTTTCCTAACGAGCAGAAAGCTTGTCTCTTTCACAGTCTAGTTGATGTGCCAGCACTATAATTGTACAGTAAAAGTCTGCACCTTAGGAAAGATGGGGTGATAATGACCAAGGTTGGCTTGAAGGATGGGAATATGCAGTATAGCACCTACAATAGCCCATCT